TATATATATATAACTTCATCATGAGGGTGGCAATTACGAACTGTATCCACTCTTCACTCTTTCTCTTCCCCTGACTAAATGTGTGGGCCAAAGTGCTCAATCAGGTTGTCTGCTGCCTTCCATTGTTGAGTGCAGTCAAGAGGCAGTCTAAGTGCCTATACACTAAAATACATTTGTCCTCTCTAATCATTACAAGCCCTAATTCGACAAATGAAGACGTCCTTCCTTTTTTTTCCCCCCCCAGTCTTCCTTCCTTCCCATGTCAATCAGAGACAAGTTGCTTTTAGTTCAAAGCCACATCTCAATGCTGCTAGGTGCCATTTCTTTTCAATCAAAGGCCACTGAACTCCCACAATCAACATTGGAGGTGTTAATTAACATGCAACATTTGCATTCAAAAGGCATCCAATTTATAGGTCGTTCCCTTCCATTTGTGCCATCCCAGAAAGCAGATCCCTTTGCAGGCGCCTCAAAAATGACGACTACGGAAGAATGGAGACTTTTTTTTTAAATTGGGAGAACTATGCATACATGTAAGCGGGCATCTCGGAGAGAAGGGGCTTGACTTTTGCAAATGATATGTAAGCACTGTCATTGAAAAACATCCCCCTCGGAGCGAAGGCGGAGCAGCACCGCAGAGTCAATATTGAACTTGTTGGTGGTCAGTGCAAATTCGTCATTATTATTCACATGCTCCTTGCGCCATCTGAACGTCAAATATTGGACGAATCGCTCCTTTGCACCATAATAGGCCCCCGAGGGACAGCAGACGCCCAACCAAGACGATCGACCGGCGCAGTCTGCAATCCAACTAATTGCTCAATAATCATCGATCAGTCTATCACAGGTGGAAAGCGCCAGACCAGACAAGACCCATGAACAATTATTGCTCAACGACCCAGTCAAGTACACGAGCGTCTAATTGCATTTCAGCATGGCTCGACTCAAACTAATCCTGCGCGGCACAGTAGATTTAGACAAATAGGATCAGACATGATTAGATAGGACTGAGCATTAATATTTGCATTAACTTTTAATTTAATTGAACGCCTCGGTCTCCAAGATTTTAAAATACTGCGAGAAAAGTACGGATAAAAAACACAACACAACACTGTATTTAAAAGTACGTTTTCAGTAATGTGCGCTAGAGGGCACTGCTGTCGCAAAACTCGTATTCTAATCTATCTATCTCTCTATCTATCTATCTATCTATCTATCTATCTATCTATCTATCTATCTATCTATCTATCGTCAAACCTCGAGGGATATAACGAATCTACGTTATGACAGTAGTTCGTTGTAATCATTTCCAATGAAATCGCTGCCAATTACGACGTATAATAAAAGATTTATAAGACACAAAACAAACTAGCGTTTCTACTCTCTCTCTTTCTCTCTATAGTAATGTACGTGTTTCTTTGGTCATCCAAATGCATTTTAAGTGCAGTATATGGGATAATGTCTACTGTGACTTAGTGATATCAGATGTCATGATAGAGGTACTTGGAGCCATCTAGTGGTATCAATTATTATTGTTTTCCGAAAGGTGAAACTTCATAGGCGCCTTATTTTCTTTATTTGTCGGGCCTTATTTTTTTCAGACAGGCACACACAGACGTGCAATCGCAGCGGCCAACTTTATATATTCCACAAATGGAGATCTTCTTGCAGGACCTGGTTTAAACGTTCCATGGCATGTGTTCTGTTTTATTTTTGTGACTTCAGGTTAAATGTTCTGCAAAGCGTTTTGTTACAGCTGCGGCTGTTCTGAAAGCACTGTTAGCTGTGAATGTGAATTGGTTTATTTTGAACGCAGCCATATTAGCATTTATAAGAGTCAATGTTGGGATGTGATACTGACAACACACGTGTTTATTCCTACTTCCCCCTGGACAAAAGGTTTTTTTTTTCAATTGAGTTGTACAGATGATATGTCACGTTAATGGTAGGAAAAGTTTTTAAATTATTTACCTTTGGTCTCATTTTTTGTCTGATAAAAACCTGTCATTTGACAGGGGAGTACAGACGTTGTCACTGTGCTGTTCCTCTATAACCACCACGCTGAAATAGAATGCTTCCAACTACACCTGATCATTATGTACCGTGGATCTATTATACAAATCTCGCGTGCTAAATTGACCCGTGTAATGTGTCTTGAGATTGCAAACAACTTCCCTCTTTGTGCCCCTTTTGCTCGTCCAAAGTAGGGAAAGTCAGAATGTGTGGAATATGAGTGCATTTTGGACCTGTGCACACTGACAAACACAGGGCCTCATTCTTGATCTCACTGCACCGCCAGCCCCCATCAGTGAGCACGCTCTGGTGACAATCTTGTCTGTTAATCATTAATCGATGTACTTTGAGCTTTGATAAGTGCCTGACTTCAAAAGCATGCGGTGTGATAAATCAGAGTAATGAAGAATAAAATGTCACATGTTGAACTCCATTTGTGTTCAAAATGATGAGCAAATATTCCTTTTGGCCTCCCTCTGCTCATAAAGATTGTGACTTTAGGCTTTGTGAATAAACAATTACTTTTATCCGGGGTCATAGAAAGGGTGCACGTGCATTGTGCCAATCTCTTGAAGATCGGCATGGGATTAATCCACAGTACTGATCATGCACCCAAAAACATATTCACTACGTGTGACTGCAATGCAACAGAATCATAAAAAAACGTTTTAATCTCCCATATTGTTGTACAGTACAGTATTGCAGTTTGATAAAGAGGCACTTGTAAAAACAAACGAAAAAAAATACAATGTATCCCTTGGTATGCACCGCGCCACCAGCAGCCTGACAGACAGCCCGCAGTTTCCATTCACATTTTTTGACAGCCCTCAGCATCACCCCCCTCCCTCCATTCCCTCCCCCTTTTCCGCACAGCAGATGCTGCGATGGGCGCCATGACAGTGATCTGAGATTTTGCCTGCAGAAGTAACCAAAGATGCTTTAAGACGAAGAAGAATGGCTCTAAACCAACGCCAAGATGGCGCCCCCCCCGTTCTACGCATGCGCGGCAGCGTCAACGGTTTTGTTCATAAATGCCTCCTCCCATGGTTGTTTTTGTAGCGCTTTAAACTGAAATCTGTAATGCCCTTGTATTTATTATTTGGGGTAGAAACGTTTTTGTTTTCATCCATTGTTCATATTTTACCAAGGAGCGTTGGTTCCCATAATGCAACGCGAGGCTACGACCAGGTCGGTTGAGATTTTCATCTCCACGGTTGAACGTCTCTGGTAGCGGGTCGCTCCGCTGTGTGAAGGCAGCTAAGAGGCGACGGAGCAGCGGGGGAGGTAGCAGGCGAACCAAAGGCGAAGAGGACAAGAGGGACTTTCGGCTGCGTCCCGTGTTTAGAGGCAGCGACACCAGACCTCTGGGTTTCACTTGACGGCAGACGGGCTCTTCTCCCCCCAAAAAAGAGAGAAAGCGAGAGACGAGGCCCTCCGCATAATTTGACGGCCAACTTACTTCTTTCGAACTCTTCAAAAACAACCGTCGTGTCGAAGTGGGTTGGAACTAAGGAGACGTTTTCGTTTGAGGACGGACACTGGGATTTAAAGAACATATCTGGCAGCACCGTGCTGCGACAACAAGAGGATATTTTTTGGGGTGCAAATTACGAATACGATTTGAAAGGCCCCGATTTGGCTTACGTTTGACAGGCACGGTGAGCACATGACAAGGGGATCCTTTGAAGAAAATTGTAATGATGACATTTGGCAGTAAAGCGAAGTAACGTTCACAACGCTAGCTTGCAAGCTACTCGGCTAAGGTAGCAGACTGCTAACTAAGCCTGTGTCGCCCTTTGCATTCCCGGAGTATAGAGGAGGGGCAGCGGGGCTTTGTAGCATTGCGGCTGGAATGGAGAATCCCAAATGTGTGCCACATCTACTCAGGGGAAACCGTTAAACCGCGGCGAGAGGACCCTTTTCCATTTTTGTTCAATCAAAGAGCAGCTTCCAAACCAACCGGCCTGGGGCAGCTAGGCCATGTTATTGGGACGACTACACTTTTCTCTTGTGCCCTGCGGCGATCGGGAATGTTAACATGGGGAGCTGCTGCACCCCATATACGCCCCAAATGTGGATCTGGAAGCAAAGATTATGAGTAAATTGGCAATACAGCGACTTCCCCGCAGCTGAAAGTTTGTGATTCCTTATTTTCCAAACCTATTCAAGGTGAGATAACTTTTTTTTTGACTGGCTTGTTCGAGCCCAGCCTTTTTCGTCGTATTTTCACTCACTCATCATTAAACCCAACTGGACTGCACAACCATGTCGGGAGAGGTGCGTTTGAAGAAGCTGGAAAAGCTGATTTTGGACGGGCCCGCTGATTCCAATGGCCAGTGTCTTAGTGTGGAAACCCTTCTGGACGTCCTGGTGTGTCTCTACGATGAGTGCAACAATTCTCCACTCCGAAGAGAGAAGAATATTCTGGAGTTTTTGGATTGGGGTAAGGCAGTCGTACCATCTTTTACTACTACAATATTTATTCTCCATTTCCCCCTGTTTGGGGCCCTGTGCAGACAGCCTCTCATTGTTGTTCTTTTTTGGTAAGACGATAGGCTAAGAACGTTGGTTGTGCACCGGCCCTCCCTTCCACATCACATTCCTTTTATAGTAGTGGTGGGGCTCACTCTGCCTGCTCTTTTCCTTAACACTAACACTTCCTCAATAACAAAAAACTACACATTAACATACTCTGAATTTCAGCTCGTCATCAATAAATATTTTTCGGATTTCTGTTGTCCTCTGGGACAGCAGACTGATTTGTGTTGAATCAAATGAAGACTATTTGTGCCACAACTGACGGCGAGTCATTTAACCTGCAAGCTGGCTACTGGGTCAGCCAACTCGACACTCTTATTATTCAGCGATGCGTATGGTATTCACTAGGCAAGCTCTCCCTTTTAAAGCCATACACACTAACCGTCATAGATACCCCAGTAGAATGTGAGGGTGGTGACCCCAAGAAGACAGTAACTGCCTCCTGACACATAACCTACGGTGTCACATGTAACTTTGACTCCCTTTTTCGGACCATAGGAGTAAACTTGTTTGCTGTTCCAAGCTGTTTTGTTTCCATGGTTTCACACTAATCACAGTTGCGTGGCCTCTCCTTTCCACGTTCTTGCGAGTTTATAACCAGCAAAGGTGTTTTCACTGTACAGCTTGCAATTTTGTAACTTTTCCACTCCTCTCGTACGAAGATTGGGGGGGAGGAAGACATCACATGAAGCTTGGGGGATGCGCACACACACACACACACACATGCACGCACGCATGCGCGCTCATTGGGTAGCGTAGAGGAGCTAAATGTGCGTGCGCGCCAGTATGACATGGGGAGTTTGGTTTGTGCATGAAGCAGGAATGTGAACAACTCACCTTTTTTAGCTCGCTGCCGGAGCATGCCTGCCCTGCCCTGCATGTCTGGGAAAGCCCTGGAAGCAGCAGCAGCAGCAGCAACTATGTGCCCTCATAGGAGGGAATGTGGATTCATGATACGCCCGACAGTGGAAGTAAAAAATCAAATGCAAGAAAAACATTTCATTTAGGTGACAACCATTGTGCCCCAATTCATTAGTAAAAGACAGGCACTAGTCGTGATAATTACTGTCGACAGGATGGTAGTTAAGCGGTCAGATGGCAGTTCGTTGTGGTTGTTCAGTTTTGACTACCCCACCCATCGGCATCTGTACAACCTGTTGTCGGCCTGTTCCAAAAACTGATCTCTGTGGGCTTGTAAAACACCGGACGTGGTTGCTCGCTTAGCGTGAGAATGCAACGGTTGTTTGCTGTCTTTATCATATCAATGATTATTAGCCGCATCGCCGGCTCGGCCGAAGCTGAGTGGTGCGAAGCGGGTCGCTTGGCTGGTAAAAGCGTTGAAATCGGTGTTGTTATCCACACCTCGAGTGTCTCCACACGGCTGAGCTGGCTCCTGCCCAGATGGCAGGCTGGTAAAGGGGTGTCACTGTCATAGTATTGGAGCATGTTTAATATCGTCGAGATGTCCCGAATAGTTGATTTTCCATGGATTTCTGTGATCATTGGCCCTCGGGGCCCATGCAATCACATTTGAATATTTGATATTGTGAACAAAATCTATAATGATTAACGTCGTTTTTTTTCTCCTCGAGTGCCTTGCTCGATCACCCGGTCAGAAGAGCGGCACACCTGTAATAAAAATTACAAGCACTCTATTAGTTTGACAGCCTCCAATTTCTGCTTTACCACTACAAAAGAAACGTCCCAGTGGCAGCCTGTTAAAAGCAGGCTCCATCTGATAGATGGCATAAACACAGTTCAATCCTACATGCTGTAAAACGGTTCAAGATGGTCTGCGTGAAACCCAATCACACTCCAGCTTTAGTCCGAGCCGCCTTTTTCAGCAGACTTAAGAATGTACAGCCAAAGTCGGGCTCCGGCCTAAAGGTCCCACGTTCGAACCACGGTCATCGGGGCAGTACGCCTTTTTGTGAGACATCATCAATAAGGCGCTGATCGGGGACAGATGAAGGCCACCATTTCGATTGGAGGTGCTTTTCTTCTTGTTTGGTGACCTCATTGCACCTGAAACGGAGACCCCTGCATGACCCAAAGCCACAGGGGAAACCCACATGGGAAAGTACGCCGCGTCCCGATTTCGTGTGTTTACATCTGCCGTTAGTGTGCAGAGCAGACTTCTCTCGTTCGGGCTCATGCTGCTTCTCCTTCACGCTTCGTGCGGTTTGTGAACTCCAACGTCATCTTTTATCACAACGCAATGAGGACCAACACATTATCGACAGCTATAGCTCCTAAATGGGTTGACGTTAGCACCACTCGAAGCACCCAAGAACGTAGTGTTGCCTCCTGCAACATTCACAGGAGGGAGATGGCAGCATTATTCACATCGATGAAACAACATCAGAACCTGCTGGGGCATGCCTATGTTGTGAAGAGGGGTGTAGAGTTTTTTTTTAATTGTGATAAATCTGCAACATAATACATGCCAGCACAATGTGTGAAAGGCAATAATGAGTCAGGCTGTATCTGTGTGGAGATTGAGCGCCGCTCTACAAAAAGAAACTTGTTTTCTGTGCCGAGCAACCTCATCTACCCCTTTAGAAAAAAAAAAATGTAATAAACCAGCAATTCTGACTCAGCCTTTGAGTGTATGAGTCAATTTGACGTGTTTACTACTGTGCTCTGCTCCAGCTGAGTTAAGTGTGAGAGTTGTCCTATTTGTGCGGAGGGAAAAACATTTCTGGATGTCATCTTTTTTCTTCTCGTATTATTTGCAGTTTCTGTTTGTTAAGGTTCACATGATTCATTTACGACCTGACCTTTTCTCAATCCGGCATCTGTGATCCCCGCAATGGCCAGCTGTTCAACTGATGTATGTGTGTTCCGCTTTGCAGGGCTCTTATTGGCAGCATCCCCCAGACGCACGCACACACACGCGCGCACACACCTTAGTGTGTATGTGCGCTCACTTATACAGAGACACACTTGTTGTTTTGACTCGTCGCTCTGAGTGTCCTCGCTATAGCTCTTAGAATGACATTTTGGTTCCAGGGAGTAGGTGTTGCTCTACACGCTTTAAATTTGACGTCAGGCCCCTTTGGTTCCACCTCATCCAGAACAAAAAGCCTTGTATGTGAGGCCATGCTCTCAGCCCCTTGGCATCTTGTACTTTCTGCCTATTGCTGTTCCAGCAGCTAGCATGTGATTCGACCACTTTGAAACGAATTCAGTAGTTGCGGATGGAAAAGAGGGTTCATCATATATTCAGGGTCTCAATGAATAGATTTTTCGCAGCTGAACCAAAGGATGAAGAGTACCGGGTCTACGTTACAATGATCTCGCTCCCGGGCCTGACCATTTTATAGAAGCCGTCTCCGAACAGGACATCCTCACGCCCTCTCGGGCTGTTCTGACGTTTCCTGTCTGGCTGTCCGGTGGTGACAGTGGGCGCAGCGAACAGGAAGAAAGCACAAGAGCTCAATGAGCTCGTTGGGACTAAACGTCGACATGATGTCATTGAAGGAAGTGAGGCAGCTGTACTGCATTGTATCATTGCGCGCTCGCTTGTGTCCAGCATTGTGGTGGTGTTGACAAGCGCTTCAAGTCATTAACGCGGTCATTTCCTTTGCCGCGGAGTCCCGCTTGCAGAGAAGCTCATGTCTCATTTGTGCTGCTGGTCTAAATAGGACACAAAATGGCCGTTGAGTCCCAGTCTGCGTCTTTGTTCCGTTATCATTTTATCTTGATATTGCTGAGCAGTGGCGTGCGAAGGTGTGTTGATGCCCAATACTAACCATGCGCAATTGCCAAGAGCAGGGTAGAAGCGCTGATGGAAATTGAATGGCCGCCTGCCTCGTGCTCAAATTTAGATTTAAAAATAAAATGAAATTTAATGGCCCTTTCACATTTTATTTAGTACTTGCTCTTGACTGATAATGACATAACCGTTACTCACAAATCAATGACGGCTCAGCTTGCAAATTTCACATGACCGAACTCAAGTAACAGGATGAACAAGATTTCGGAATTTTATGAAGGCAGCATGAGTGATATTTTGTTGACGATATCAATATTTTGTTGGGCTAAGACAGGCGTACCGATATTTGCGATGGCTCATTAAAAGGCGGCGGCTGCTGTTTTGACTTCCTTTGCGCGACTCTCAAAGGATACGCTGCGGCACACGGGTCATTAGCCAGGCCCACAGGACCCCCAGGACCTGACCGCTAATGACGTCGACCCCTCCGCGCTTCCCCTTTCCTCTTCCCCTGTCCTTCCGCACCCCCTACCATCTTGCTTTTCATCTTCCTCTCCTTTTCTGCCTCATTCTCTCCTTGTGGATTTGGCTGACCCCCGCTCATCAGGCCACCAATGCTGTCATGAACTTTCTTTTGTGGGTTATTTCAGTCGTCTTACTTTGTTTTTATCAGGGGAGGTTAGGTTGGCGCGTTCACACCCGCTGTCAACACAGCCGAGTTGGAAAAGCTAGTCTTGTGTGTTAAACCTAACACCACTGTTGCAGCATCGGGACATTCCCTTCACCACGGAGCCATCCAGCCCCGAGGACTGCTGAGGTTATCCTTGTTGAAATCAGCGGGGCAGAAGAGTCAATCCAGGCCAACCAAACTTAAGTTTAATTGCTTCTATTGTTTTCTTCTGTGTTGTTGCTGCTCAGTGTTGACACTCGCTTATGGTTCGGCGTGCTGTTTCATGTGTACGGCGACTGCAGACACAGTGCTATTGAATCACTTGAAAAGAACACGCAAGCTGACATTTCGGCATTTCATTGACATCGAACGCTGTGAGCGGCAGTGAAACTCCAGCCTTGAATTTCTTTCTCTTCCTCCTGCAGCTTTTTCAAAACACATTTGAAGTGGACTTCCGCAGTATAACATAAAACACACGCCTCATACCTCCGTAACCGCAAGTTTGGTTCTAATGACTGGA